ACTTTACACGGGGATTCAGGAGATCCAAAGGGAATATTCCGTTTTCATCATTGTACAAATGGGTCGAGAATTCTTCCACGATTTTCTCTCAAGGTTTACTGTTATATTGYCTATGGCTGTATTAACTCTATATAGCCTGACATTTTAGCCATATAGTTGCGAGAATTGGACGACAAATATTGAACCTGATAATCTAGAGCGTTTTATTACTGTCTTATATCAGTGGTAAACCGAAGCCAAAACCTGGCTGTGACAAAGAGAGATAAACGAAAAAAAAACCAAAATCAAAAGGAATCCTTGAAATTACGCGGTGAACACTAGGTACGACGCTCATTCTCCATCACACTGCAATTACTCAAAAGAAAGTAATCGATCCTTCTAAACAAATACAAAAATATAACTTGCACTCGTCTTGCTTCCAGTCCCTTTTTGAAATACGATAAAAAGGCTGCGAGACACGAACGGCAAACAGGATTTTGTAGGAAAGCTAGACTACTACAACAGGGAACACAACCAAATTGGCACTGTATCTTAAACAAATCAAAACTCATAAAACACAACAGAAGATGCAAAATATGATAAATTAATATACATTATTATTTATTTCAGATTTTTCAATATATAACACATTTGATGTTACTCTTTTTCTGGTTACTCGGTTTACTCGTTACTGCGTTACTCGTTTTAGCAGTCCCCCCTTGAAAATTGTGCAACTAAGCATTATTTAGTAAGTAGCATCATGATTAAAAGTGTGTTTCTATTTTCTCGAGCTTTTTCTTGACTATCCTCTCATAAATGCAGTCAGTAGTGCTAGATAGCTAAAGGGATAATATTGTGATAATATTATGTCATATCCTTTATGCATTTGTTAATTACCTTTTCTGGTTTGGTGGTTGAAGTTAGTTTGCAGCTACCCAGCCTGAAATTGGAGGCTTTTCTTAGAAATCAGAACTATTACCAGTCTCCCCCATATAATGAATATTTACTGAGCCTCATCTTTATGTGAGAATATGTGTCAGTGTGCAGTCTGAAAGTATTCAGCTAAACGGCTTGTCTAAGTTTTAAAACATTGCTTTTTAACTTTAATTTAATTCAACAAAGTCTAATTTTTGTCACGTATTGGAATATAAGCTAGTGTTCTGTCTTCCACGTATGATGCGAGTAGAGGATGTGAGATTTTGTGTTTACCAACTGATAGTGGTAGATAGGGGAATCCCCGATTTAAATCATTCATAGACGAACAGCCAAACACGCCAAAACCGGTGTCATTCAACTAATCTATTCCTCTAGTTYAGTGAAGTAACTTAGGAAACCAAGATAAAGGAATTCAAAAGGACGTCTTAAGATTCCGCCCTGGGCGACCAATACTTACCCAGAGAAAACAGAAGGATTTTGTGTACAAAATACATTAATGCCGTGAAAGACGCTTATGCTTTGTGATTCCTTATGAGTCAAACAGGATTTTCTCTTGCGGGGAATATATATGTTGTGTACATATAAAATGCGACCAAAATTTATTGATACGTATTTGAGATTTATTAAACTCATTAATAATTCATGAGGAAAACACAACAGAAATAAGGACCGTGAAGAGTTCTGTAATCCTGTTCATTTGCATAAACTTTAAGATACACCTCAAAGCCGTGTACTTTGGGAGAGGTGATATTTTGATCAGCAGAAAAACTGACATTTTCGTGAAGTAGATTTACTCTAATGATTCGACAAGATTTCGTCACAAGTTGCGAGCAGCAGTGACAAATGAAACGCTTAAAAATTTGGAGCATTAAACTCAGTAAATAAAAAATCGTGAAAATCGACGCAAACTCGATTGACTAAACTCTAAAAATAGACCCCTGTTGAAATAACAGTTGGACGCGAGTCAACAGTCCAATCAAAGGACTAGATATAACTTTTCAACCTGATATGGTCTTTGCTATTTGACGAGCATCATTATAGTAATCTCAGTCAAGTGGTGCATGTGCCATCACTCTGGGACGGTATGCGGGACTGTTTCGTCTATACTGATTCAAAGCAAGACGTTTTAAAAAACACAACATTTCTACATTTCACATTCGGATAAAATGACGGTCCACGTCCAATTGGCTTGTATTGTCATTTTCATCGTGTTCTCGTCTTGGACCCGAGTTTGGTTAGATGGTCTTAGCAGAGTCTACGAATTAGTGGAGAGCTGGTTAGCTGATTCAGGTAATGTTGATGTATGCATATCTAGCTGTATCAGAAAGTATGCTATATAAAAATAATTAATTGAAATGAATTATTGAAATCTTAAATCAGTTTGAATCAATTTTACTATTACACCTTCCTACAAAGTGTTTTTAAAAGTTTCCTTCTAACAAGCCTGAAACGAGATATGTCTTACCCCGAAGCAGTGTGAAAAGGATAATGGTCTAGGAC